TTATATAAAATATATATATCATTTTACTTTTACATTTCAGGGTAATTCTGGTGGATCAGGGGAAAATGGTGGTCCAGGGGAGAGAGGACCTCCTGGACCTGGGGTAAGGACAATGTTCAGAGCCAAACATTATTATTAATTTGAAACATACAATCATACCTTTTTCTTACTTTTCATAGGGTTCCAAAGGACCACCAGGTCCAGTTTCCTTCACAGTAAGTAACCTACATTTATTTTTCTGTTTTGACTAATATTTACTTGATGCTGAAAGATCTGGTTTTCTTTTTAACCACATCAATACCACTATGTTAAACCCCTTCATTACCAGACCTTTTTTCAGTTTTCAGTGCTGTGAAAGTTTGACTAAGAATTACTCACGCAACACTGTAACAAAATTATTATATATAATTTTTTTGAGACTGATATACTTTGTTGGGGTTTTTCTTGTTTTTTTTAGTAATAAAAATAAGTAATAAAATGGGAAATAACCTGCTGCTCATAATTTTTGCTATAAAACATATCAAATAAAAATGTCAGGACGGTATGAAAACTAAAATGACCCCTTTTTTTGGAAAGTAGATTCCCCAGGGTGATCTTTTTCTCCACGCATTTTTGGAAATGAAAAAACATGCTGCTATTTAGGGGGTTAAAACAAGGAGCTTGTTAAAGGAGAACTATGGGGTCAGGGCCTTTCCCCATAGTTCTCCTTAGGGTAACGGGAGGATACAAACTAGCGTCCTCCAGTCACCCTAGGCTCAGTAAACGATGTGCAATAAATGTGCAGGTCATACACAGCAGGAGGCTGAGTCAAAGGGGTTAATGTACAGGTCAAATACAGTGGGAAGATGGAGATGAAGGGTTAATGTACATATATGCAGTATAAGGGTGGTGAAGGGTTTAATACATACATTGGAGCAGACAATATTTAAAATAAAATTTAAAATGTTTCTTTTGCTTTTGCTGCTGCTGCAGCATGTTTTTTTTACTAGGAAGTAATACATGGGTTACTGATCTGTTCATTGGTTCCTTTGCTCTCCCCTGCCTCTGATGTAAGAGAAAGGGGAGGGCTTGGCAATGTAAACACTGGCATGGATCAATCAGAGTGATCACAGGGCACAGAACCAGTCTGGTCAGCTCTGTGCCTGAAGCCTCTGATACCCAAAGATGGAACAATAGAACAATAGGGCTGCAGACCCATGACGAAGAAATGTTTAAATACTTTTAATCTCTTTATTTCTACCTTCAGCTTTGTCTTTGTGGAGAAAAAGCATTTGATCATTACAAATATATGGATTTCCAGATTAAGTAGACCCTTGACTCCCTCTAATATTAACCCTTTCGCTGCCAGAGCTATTTTTTCCACACATACTAAAATGCACATTTTAGGCCTAAATATTGCTTAAAGTCCCCGTTTATTTTTCTGAAAACGTTTATTTTTCTGAAAGGAGCAACCCTGGAGAATAAAATGGTGTCAGTTGCAATTTTTTATGTCACACAATATTAGTGCAGCAGTTTATCAAACCAACATTTTCAGTAGAAAATGCATTCAAATTAATTTTTGTGCACACAAGCACAATATAATACCCAACAAGTTGTGCAATATAAAATACGAGGTTGCACTAAAACTAAATAGATACCAAACATATCAAAATCGCTTGCGCTGGTGAAACAGCAAAAAACTTTGATACCCCCAAACAAATATTCTTTTTGGTAAAAGGATGAAGGGTGAGAACCTCTACTTGCTTATTTTTATTGTCCGACTTTTCCTGTGCTAGGGAAAACCAGTCCCTTCATTTCTTGTCCTGCTGTCACAAGAAGAGGAAGCGAAGTCAAATCTTCCCAACCGCATCATGGACAGCAATACAAACTGGACAGAAATGTTTACTCTTCTCAAATTTTTCCAAAACTAAAGAAAAAGGTTTGACTTCAGTCAGCCTTTAACATCTGCATTCAGACAAAACAATTATATATTTAATAAATCTCTTTTCAGTAGTATAAATAGCATACAAGTGGAATTACTTATATATTTTAAATGGAAGAAAAGCAGAGAAATTTAAAAGAAAATCAGTTTATGTAATTGTGAATTGCTGAAATCACTTGAACAGTAATACTTTATGATAATTTCTACCATGTAATTTTTCACAGACTTGTGAACTTGTACAATTTACAAAAGAGAATTGCCGTGAGTACATTTGCCTTCTATTATTTTTATATTTAAAAAATATTGAGACATTTTATGAATTATTTTAACCTAATAATGCTTTTACTATTTTTTCTATTTTTACAGCTTGCTTCTCAGGTAAAACTATAATTTTATTACGTAGTCATTATTTATGTATTATTGAAAATAGAATTTAAATAATTTTTTTTTATTTCAAGGTCCTTCCAAATGCCCAGTTTATCCAACGGAAGTAGTGTTTGCTCTTGATTCCTCTCAAGATGTTCCACCTGCAGGCTTTCAAAGAATGAAGAATATAATCATTTCTCTTATAGAAAACATGGAAATCAGTGAGAGTAATTGCCCCAAAGGGGCCCGTGTTGCAGTGGTCACTTACAGCAATACAGTTAAACATCTCATTCGTTTTTCTGACTTCAAGAACAAAAATCGGCTTTTGGAAGAAATTCGAAAGATTCCACTTGAAAGGACCACAGCTCCAAGAAACATTGGAGAAGCTATGAGATTTGTGGGTAGAAACATGTTCAAGCGTATTAGATATGGCGTTCTCATGAGAAAAGTTGCCTTTTTTTTTGCTAATGGAAAATCACAAGATGCTACTTCAATAAACACAGCTGTTTTGGAACTTGGTGCTCTCAACATAGCCCCAGCAGTTATTGCCTTTGATGATGTACCCAATGTCAAGACAGCCTTTGCGGTGAGTTAATAATTGTTGAGTATTCATAAAACTATGGTAATTGCTAATTATCATGATTTTTATGATGGCATGCTAACATTCCTTTTACCTAAGCCTGACAAATACAGTGCTTATTTAAATTGGCTAATACATGCTGCTATGCTCTTGTAAGTCACTGGCAGTCCTTTTGCCCAGACACAGCCTTAGGTTTCAGTTTGACTGATACTCTTCTAATCTAACTAAAATAGTATTGCTGTGAGCTACTAAAGGTTACTTAGGAATTGCCAATGTTTTTTTTATCAAAACATATGTTTAGCAAAAGTTTATTAAAGAGAAAAAGGTATCAATACACAATTACCACAAAGTGCATAGATGATACATGAAGATTTAAGGATAACACATGGAGAATATTGCTCTATATCATACCAAATACATGCACAGGTTATTGCTTATAAAAGCAATTAAAAACAATTATAAAATACATTTTTCAGGACCATGAAAGTAAAGGGCAACATCTGGAAGCAGTGACAGGTGCGAGGCTTGTGGTATGTTACCTCCAAACAGAGCAGATACATATAAACACAGTTCTCAACTATAACTGAGGAAATAAGCTCCTGTTTGAGCCCCTGGGGGGATTTATCAAAACTGGAGCAGCTGTGCATGGCAACCAATCAGCTTCTCTCTTCAGTTTGTTGAGTTAAGCTTTGAAAATGAAAGAATGAAGCTGATTGGTTGCTGTGCACACCTGCTCCATATTTTCTCTGCTCCAGTTTTGATAAATTCCCTTCCCTAAGTCATACAAAACATAAGATCTGTGTGTGCTCTTTGTCAAGATGGCAACATGTGGCTTGTCTAGCCTGCCACACCCCCCAGATTTTTCAAAATTATTAGGATATCCTCTGTGTATTGATTCAAATCTAATGCACAAACATACCTAGCAGGCACTGCTTTGGGGTCAAGTGTTAGTGGGGATCTAATCACATCATGTAGAAGCGTCACTATCTGCTGCCAATAAACCTGCAGTTGGGAACAAGACCAAATCAGATGGAAAAAGGTTCCTGGGGCCAACTTGCATTTGGGACAAAGAAGATTGTATGCGTGTTTATATTTAATGAGCCTAATCAGCATAAAATAAGTATAGTGAAGAATAAATAGGCTGGTAAGCCTATCACTAATTTTAAGAGATACCTGCCTGTGGTTAGCCAGAACTTTTTCCCATTCCTCCCTATCCACCAGGCCAACCTCCATTTTCCATATGGCCTTCTAGGGGAAAGCCAGTACTCTTGTCCTAGGAACTTGGAGAGCGGTGTATACATCAGAAATCAGAAATCAACCATTTAAAGGAACACCTCGACTAAGCTAGCACCTGTGGATTATCAAGAATAGAATTTGTGAGAATCTCAAATTGGGAAGAAACAACCTGCCAAAGCTCAAAGTAATGGAAGAGCATATTGTTGTGGAGCTGCAATTCCTCTTGGTATGAGGGGAATGACCTAATGCGTATCCCTTCTAAAACATGAGCCAATTTAACAATACCCCAGCTAAGCCAAAACTGTGGGTTGGGCACAAAACTGAGTTTTGGAAGCAGTCAATTTTCTCGTATAGGGTAAGAACGCTTTATTTCAGGTATATTAAGTTTGTTAAGATACATGTTTCAAATATTGAGGCTTTGAATAAGTATGTGATTAAAAGCAGATTCTTCCTTGGAACCACAATGTTGAGGGGGTCTACCAGGCAGCAGGAGCCATTAGGTACAGAAACTTGAGGGCTTCAGTTCCTGTCATGGTACTATGCACAGGTGTCCCCACGCCGCATGCAGGTACCCACGCAGGAGGACCAAATTAGTATGACCACACTAGACAAGGTCAATGAGTAGTATACAATTAATTGTAAACAACAAAACAAAACACAACCACCCCACCAACACCCAAAAGCAAGCACACCCAGGGTATACAAGCAAGGTAAACCTGAGGAGCAGGGCAAGACCAGGGGAGCTGAGCCACACCAGGGGAGCTAAGGAACAAAGGGTCAAGTTACAGGGAGGTAACAGGACTCAGAACTTGGGACTCCCAAACCAGGGGAGCTAAGGCACAAGGGTCAAGGTACAGGCAGGTAACAGGACTCAGGAATGCAAGCAGGTAACAAGACTCAGGACTTGGGACTCAGGATACACAGGAAATGGCAACAGGGCACAGGAATCAGTCAGGGAAAGGCGACAGGATACTGAGCCATGGTCCTGACTGCAGGGAGGGATTAAATACCCTCCCAGAAAGCACCAGGTGGTGGATAATTGCTGAGACACACCCGCAGGTGAGCACTGGAGTCGCAGGTTCCAGCACCATCCAGTGGTGGTCTGGTACCTGACAGTTCCTGGCTACTTGGAGACACCTGCAGGTGAGCACGGGAACTGCAGGATGTGGCTCCAGCACCACCTGAAGGTGCTCTGGATCCTGACAGTTCCCTGGCAAAGGCAGACATGCAAACTATACAGTAACATAGTACAAATTCAAATCTAGCAGTGCCATGCCTTCCAGGTCCAATGGATGCTTCAAGGTAGATAAATTCAGTTTATGTCTGTTATTCCCACACACAAATGTCTGAAGTAGGGAGTCTATCATTTTAAAATACTTGTGCCACATGATGTAAGGAATTACCACGGTTTACATTATGGGTGACCATAGGTTGCAGTGTGACCTACTGCAACGCAGAAAAAGGAATTTTAATTTCCAAGATTTAATTTTGTTGAAGCTGAAGGGGATAATAGCTTGTAAACTGGAGCAAGGGCTTTAAAAAATGAAGATAGGTCTGCCTTAGGCTGGTCTCAGACTCCAAATATAATTGTGACAAAGTGTATTGTCATATGTAACTATGTATAGCAGCGGTGGCGAACCTGTGGCACGCGTGCCACAGAGGGCACGGCACGCAGAGGCCCCTCTGGTGGCACGTGAGCCTAGGTCCCGGTTACAGTGACCCGCACACTCCAGGTGCAGGTCACTGTAAAGTCATGTTAAGTTTTTTTTCGTATAAATTTTTTTTTGGAGATAAAAGACAATAAAATAACATTACACCGTATTATACAGTCATAGTACTTCAAGATACAATACAATGCAGTAGGTGTGGATCTGGACCTGGAATTCGACTGCAACAGCGTTAATCGAAATTCTTGAGTCTCATATCTGACCATATTTTAAAGGTGGAAGGGTTAGAAAGCGCCGGAGGAAAGGTGGGGTTCCTCAAGAAAGACATTAGAGGTAGGTGTGGGGAAGTGAGGGCCATTTTTTTGTTTAAGACGTCCCAAATGCGCAGTGAGAAGGAAGTGATGGGATTTAGTGGTGAGGGCCTCCGCTTAGGTTGAAGCCAGAGAAGGTTAGCTACTGAAGTAGCTGGGTGGAAGGAGTCCTCAATCGTGACCCAGCGAGGAATTTCAGACTCAGCGTGGTATTTGGTTAGTTGTCCTACTTGGGCCGCTTGATAGTATGCTAAAAGGTTAGGGACACCTAGACCACCTCGAGTTTTTGGTAGATAGATGGTGCTACGCGGGGTCCTGGGACGCTTGTCATTCCAGATAAATCTCATGATCCGAGCTTGTAGCATACGTAGTACCGATGACGGAACTTGCACCGGCAATACTCTGAATAAATATAGTATCTTGGGCAAGAAGAACATTTTTATCGCCACTATTCTTCCTACCCATGATAATTGATATCGAGACCATGTTCCGAGTAGATGTACCAATTTCTTTATCATATCTGGGTAGTTGGCTCTATGGAGCGTGGCGTATGATGGGGTCAAATTAATCCCCAGGTAGGACAGTTTAGAGGAAGACCAACGGTAGGGAAAGTTCTCTTGCAGGGATGTTACCAGCGGGGTTGGTAGGGAGATGTTAAGGGCAATTGACTTTGAATCGTTGACGCAAAGCCCCGATATGGAGGCAAATCGGTTGAGAAAGGAACAATGATTATAAACAATGTGTCAGATGGTCAATTCTTTGACATCAGCAGCTTCTACAGCTTCTCTATATACAATGCAACTCATTTTGACAGGCAAGTGTAAGGGAGGGTGCAGTAGCGCGGCTTACTTGTGTGCTTACCTGTCTTCCCCAATGTCTGACACAGATCAGCCCCTGCTGCAGCTAATCACCTTGTGACTTGCTTCAAAGTTACAATGTTGCAGTCCGATCACTTTTTTTTTTCTTTATCATTTAATAGCTAGAAAATAATTGCTCATAAATGACTCTAGAATGATTGTGCAGATTCTAAATACAACTGATCTCCCAGAATGCACTGCACTATGGAGTATGACAGAGCGGCAGGCTTACACCGGTAATGTATCAGTGGGTGTGTTATCTATTGTCTGTTGCCCTGCAATGTTAGCTCTTCTCCCAGCTTTCTATAGCAGGAGAAACAAGAACGATGTTTAAAATAGACGCCTTATCTGTGCGCGCGGCACACCTCGTACATGGTATGCGACCCACCTATTCGCCCAAAGAGAATTATTTCACACGTTACATCATCTCCTCACAGCGCTGCTCACATGAGAGTTTGCACATCTGCTATCAGGTACATTGGGTTTGCTGCGTCTCCAATACACAATCAGATATATATGTAACGTATTTTAGAAAGTGATGCCACATCGGGGGGCAGAGGAGGCCGCAACTGCTACCGGACCCATGTCACCCGGGGGGCCTAAATCTGACCATAACTCCAAAATGTTTGTCTGCCTTTCCCGTCATTGTATCAATATTATCAATAACGATGTATTTATTGGAATTAAGTTGCTATTTAAAGGAGAACTATGAGGGGGGGGGAGGGGGTGCTTTTCACTCACCTCATAGTTCTAGCCGACCTGTGACAATGAGACCGTCACAGGTCGGCTCAGTAGATCGGGAGGTGAGGGAACACATACCGGCGTTCGCTCACCTCTCGATCCTGTCACGGCTCTCTGCCGTGACGGGAGGGGCTGGATTCCCCCCGCTCCGATCCTCCAGCGCTGACTGGTGGAACGGACGGGGGAGGGGGCGGGTACAGCTGGGTCTGCCTCTAGATAGGCAGAGCCAGCTGTCACTCACACAGCTGGGTGGATCTCGTCATCTACGTCGGGATCCGCTCCGGCTGCGGCGTCTCAGTATATAGGGAGCTGTAGCTCGCAGTATACTGAGCTTAGGGTGACGGGAGGACGCTAGTTTGTGTCCTCCCATTACCCTAAGGAGAACTATGAAAAGTCCTGACCCCATAGTTCTCCTTTAACTCATACTGTAGGCAGCGGTGTATTTACAAATGCTGCTGCCCTAGGCACTTACCTTAAATGATGTTTCCTAATCCGATCTTCTTTCCTGTCCTTTTCATCTGTCCCTCCAACGGTGCGGCGGGTCTCCGTTCCAGCGCTGACTCCTCTGTGCTAGCTGGCACTTCCTGTCCCACGGTGTCTGCATGCGGGTGCACGCCGCCCATAGACTTACCTTGTGTCTCTCCTCGCGTCCCGGCCGTAAATGTGAACTGCGCATGCCCCCCCCAGATGCTTTGCAGCCGCCCCAAAAATTGTCACATTTTCGGACGGGAGCGTGCGGGGAAGACACAGGTCAGTATTAACCCTTTTCAAAGCGTTTATTTTTTTTAACACTTTTTGCATATATCTCCTGCTTGTTAGCCTCATATAAATATATGCAAAAACACCGAAGGGTTTAATAACCCTTTAGGCCTTGTTCACACCAAATGCAGAGCAGATACGGTCAGGTTTCTGCACGCGCACACTAGTCTTTTAGACGCGCTTTTGACGCGTTTTTAGACACGTTTTGGATGCGTTCCGGGCTCTTTTTGGTTACAAAAGAGGTTAAAGTTTAAAATGGCCTTTAAGTGTGTTCCAGGCATTGGCATGCATTTTTGATGCGTTTGTGATGCGTTCCGGAGCAGATCCAGAGCAGGTAAAATAGGGCCTGCTGCAATTTTTTCACCTGCTCTGGATCTGTTCGGCAACTGCACGCTGCGATGTGAACTGGAGCAAAAAATACCATTGGAATACATTGGACGCAGTTTTGATCCGCTCTGCACCTGCTCTGCTCTGGATCTGCTCCGCGCTTGGTGTGAACAAGCCCTTAAAGGGGTTCTAAACCCTCCAGTTTTTTTCCTATATCTACTGCTAGCATGCAGGCAAGAAGTGTAAAAAAAAAAAAAACGCTTAAAATCATTTTAAACTTACTTCGTTATCGCCGCTCGTTCCCGCGCCGAGAATCAGGAAGTGATCGTACGGCCGCAAAGGATCTTAGGGCGGGCGCATGCGCAGTTCCGATTCTCGGCCGGGAGACGAGCAGAGACGCAAGGTAAGTCTATGGACGCGTGCACCCGCCTGCAGACACCGCTGGATCGGAGAGACAGAGCAGTCAGCGCTGGATCGGAGTGACGTCACACCGCAAGGGAAAACATTTTTTTGCCTTTAATGTCACTTTAAAGACAAGTCTGGGGAAATGTATCTTTCTTTTTTTTTTCTTTCTTTGCTCCTGACATACAATAAAATGAATACATTGTACGTGCAGAAGGTGGGGAAGACAAACAACACAATCTCCTAAAGATCATCGGGTGGGAAGTGATGGTTGACACGCCTAACATGCCTTTGGTGGGGCAAATTAACATCGTGTCAAAAAAAATGTAAAGGAAAAAAAAAAAAAAACAGGTCGGTCTTGTTATGTCCATAAGACGGGGGGAGCCACCAGCCTCAGTCTGCATTCTTCTAGGAGGTCGAGGAACCAGCTGCTGCTCTAGAGAGGACTCACGATGAGGAACCTGATGATAAGTGCCGTGGTGCTGCTCTGCCTAGCCCAGCTAGGTAAGGATTTGATGTGGGGAAATGATGAGAAGAGGGTCTGCTTATTATAGGTGGAGGTGAAGAGGGTCTGTTTATTATAGGTGGAGGTGAAGAGGGTCTGTTTATTATAGGTGGAGGTGAAGAGGGTCTGTTTATTATAGGTGGAGGTGAAGAGGGTCTGTTTATTATAGGTGGAGGTGAAGAGGGTCTGTTTATTATAGGTGGAGGTGAAGAGGGTCTGTTTATTATAGGTGGAGGTGAAGAGGGTCTGTTTATTATAGGTGGAGGTGAAGAGGGTCTGTTTATTATAGGTGGAGGTGAAGAGGGTCTGTTTATTATAGGTGGAGGTGAAGAGGGTCTGTTTATTATAGGTGGAGGTGAAGAGGGTCTGTTTATTATAGGTGGAGGTGAAGAGGGTCTGTTTATTATAGGTGGAGGTGAAGAGGCTTTTTTATTTTTGTAAACTTTGACCCACAGATTGCTTAGGGTGCAGGTTCCTTCGGGGCCTATTCCCGATGCTGGGGAGGAGATTCTGTGCCCTAATATAGGGTTTTCTGCCTCCTCCCAACCAGGGGGTCTCTCTTCGGGAGAGCCCCCTACCTAGTACTATGTGGGACCTGTTTCGGCAGGTCTCCAAAGCATCGGGGGTCCACCTGCCTTCGGGTAGGTGGACCATGGTATCTCAACCCCTGTCAGGAGCCGTGCGCCCTGGGGGGTCCGGAATCGAGGTCCCTTCTTTATGGAAGGACAAAGCACCCTTGTGCAGGTTTTTGTGCGCTGCGGTTCACTTTTTTTGTTCACAGGGGGAAGTTGTTTTTCGATGCACGTTCCACAGGCTCCTAAAAAAGAAAAAAAAAAGGAGGTGAAGAAGCTCAAATTATTAGAGGTGGAAATGAAAGCAGAATGAATTCAGAAACTGTCGTATATTTTCAAAACTGCCCTAAACTGTTCCACAACGTATTGCAAGGAAGGTGGGAATCATGAGCAAAATTCTGTACAGATTAAACCAATTTTTACCAAATTTGCCACCGCTTAAAAAATGTTTTGGTGAAAAATTAACCCACCTGAAACCTAATATTATCGGCTGTTTCTGTTCATGACTAAATATTTTTGTTTACATCAATCTGTTGTTTTTTTGCCATTTTTCTAACCTTTATATCCACAATTTTCATTTGGAACGTTTACAAAATTGGGTAAAAAGCAGGGAAAATTTTTGTAAGTTCCTAAGGTCCAACAGTGATTGTTAGTCCATTTCTCAGCCGGATCTATTTTTCAAAGTGGATTTTTCACACTCTATTGGGTGATTATTTGTTTTTCTTTAATACACGCTTAAGCTATCCACACATTGTGGGCAGCACAGTGGTGTAGTGGTTAGCACTTCTGGGGGTCCCTGAATCCCGGCCATGTCACTATCTACAAGGAGTTTGCATGTTCTCCTGTGCTGTGTGGGTTTCCTCCGGGTACTCCGTTGTCCTCCCACACTCCAAAGACATGCTGGAAGGTTAAATGGCTCCTGTTTGAATTGGCCCTCCATGTATGTATGTGAGATGGGGACCT